CAGATTTCAATACAGTAGGTTGGTAACTGGAAATAAAACTTCAAAGTTGAAAAATAAATATCAAATGCATCCCAAAGAAAGAAAGAAAAATAGAGAAAAGAAGAGAGAAGGAAAGAAAGAGTGACTCTTTTACCTTTGCTTCAGCACACTGTTAGTCTTTTAACTTTGCAAAGCAGGAAGGAATTAATTGGCCATAGCATTTCAGTACAGTGTGTCCTTACACATTAATGTTCTCAGTGACAGCGAATTCCAATCAGCACTGGTGACCTGGTGTGGTACTGTCACATTACGAAGAGCTGTCTCATAATTGTGGAATAATTCACTGCTAAAAACTGAACTGAATGTTTGCATTGGTTAGAACTGGCTTTCATTTAGTGGTATTGGGATATCCCATTTGTTTTTCTGGCCTACAAATATCTTTGCATTTTAAGGACCAGAGATTCATGAAGTTCAGCTGCTGCCTTTGGAGTTGCATGGATTAGACAGGCATTCACAAAGCTGGTACAACACCTGTTCTCATTAGGCTCTGCAGTACTGCTGAAGTGTAAAAATTTAGGTATGAAAGTATATTTCCTTTTCCTCAAACGTTTTTTTGAATGAGAAGTTTGCATTGCCTTGCATTCCATAACTGCAGTTATGGAATATATAGGGGGGCTGTTGCTTCCACTGGCAAGGGAAGCTCAGCAGGACTCAGCATGCAGAGCAATGCCCATGGTTTCCCTGGCAAGTAGCACCACAGTCAGGGCAGGCAGGAAGTGTTGGCTTTTAGCTTTGGGTCCCAAAAGTCCCCCAGTGTGACAACAGCACACAACACTGCAAACCCTGCTGGCTCTGCAGGCAGGGCAGATTGTCACAACCCCACTTCATATCAGCAAGGAAAAGGGATCAAATTAGGATAAAGGCAAGCATTTTAAGAAAAACTACCAAATCTTAAAATTGGTATTATTGACAATTCTGTGAGATTTCTGGGCTGGCCATTACCTAGAGGCACAAATCTTTTACCACACTGGCTTTGGAGACAACGATGGGCAAAGGACAGCAAATATAAATGGATACTTCAAACCTGGTAAAACCCAAGCCAGTTTCTGTTGAACCTAAGAACAATGTGGATGTTACTGGCCAGTATGTGCACAGTAGGAACACCATGCAATTGATTTCAGCTGATTGTACAGATCAGTCATTTGGTAACTTTGGATTTATACCACCGACCTTTTATACCATGGTCAGTGTGATGGGATACTCCAAAGGGCATAAGCTAAAGTGACATCCATTTAAGGCCCCTTTATCCTTTCACTGCAATGCAAAGGACAGTAGTATAAGTGAGAATCAGGGCCTTCATTCTTATTTTAAGACCACTCCCATACCCTAGACCCTTTTCCATTACAACATCATAATAAAAAATACAGATATACATGTAAAATACTGATCAGGTCACAAAACTTTCCACGACAGTATCAAAACGTTGTGTGGCAACAACTGCAATACTGAACATCAAACTAGCAGTTCCCTTGCTCCACTGCAACAGCACTTCTTTGGAACACAGTTCATCTGCTGTACCTGCTAACCCTGTAGATAAGTGCCAGACCTGTCCTCCTCCTTACACATGGAGCTTTTGAGGTGTCCCCCTGCATTCTGTGACTCTCTGAGGAATGATGTAGGGTGTGCAGCGTTGAAAACAGCACCTTTGACCAGTCACACCCGACAGAGCAAGTCACCCTCATGTTGTTTAGCACCCTGGTCTTGCGTTCAGTGCAAGAATGCTGTTGGAAGATTCTAGTATTTGAAAACAAGTATGTGTGGAAAAATGCCATATATAATGGTCCAGTAGAAGAAAAGAGGAAAATGCACTGTTTTGGGAAGAAATAAAGAAAACAGCATCGAGAAGCATCTTGTATCTTTTAAAACTGAAGTCAGCAGTATGCTGGGATGATGAAATGGGGAATTGAACTGGAAAAAGAATCCTAAAATCTTTATGTCTCAGAAAGAGGGAAACAGCAATGCAGACACCCTGACACCCTTTAACAAAAGGCAGCAACTACTTCATTATTTTCTGCTCAAGCTCCATCAATTCCATTTGCTGCTACAGAGGAAGAACATCTTTTTTCCAGGGAGTCCTATGTTAGTTAAGGCATTTAACTTGCACCATTTAACTTACACCATACTTGGGTGTCTCACAAGGACTGTGACTGATCTAACCAGAAGATGTAAAGAAACACTCCTGCTCTTTCAGTCATGCAGGTTCTGCAGCAGCTGTTTTATGTCAGGAACTGGGCAGAGCTGTTAGAGTAACTCAGAAGACAAGAGGCATTCCACAGAGATGCTGGCACAACAGGGAAAAAAAACTAGTACAAAAATCCTGTACTCTGAGAAGGGATGACATTTCCTTCTCCTGGGTCAGCAGTTTTTTAGTCTTGCAAAGTCTCTTTTGTTTGGCTACTTACAGACTGTAATAACTACATCAAGAAGTGTAAAAGTTAACTAGAAAACTGATCATTTGACTCTCTAAAAGAACAAGAAATGTTTTAATAGGGAAGTAATCAACAACCAATTTTTAACCACTCTTCAGGAAGTGATCCATATATATCCTGGTGCCTGATCAGATATCCTGGTGCCTGATCAGATATTACTATTAGAAATCCTTGGTCTTTCGGGAAACCTCAGGTGTAAAACTTTCCTTTACATAATTATGATTTTGTAGCAACATGCTAAAGCAGCATATAGATAGCTTGTGAAGACTGAGCAACCATCAGGTAATCCCCAAAGAGACTGAAACCAGTTCCAGAACTGTTCCACTAAGTAGCCCCATTCCCAGGATTTTTGACACTGTTCACTCTGGTTTAGATTACAGGCGAATATGTGTGTCACAGACTAAATAAAAAAAGTTTATGATTTTAAAGTCAGATGTACCAAAAGAAGCATCAATATAAAGAAGCACCCTGGCATACAGCACATATATAGAGAAGGTTGTCTCAAAAAGCCAACTGTACCTTACTCATGCTGTGCATAGATTCATGGAATTGTTAAGGTTGGAAAAGACCTTAAAGACCATCAAGTCCAATCAGCATCCCATCAGCTTTCCATATTCTCTATCCTGACGGTGGGAAGGGGCAGCAGACTGAGGATGAACACGGTGCTTGCTACATTTGCCTACACAGATCAAAAAAGGGTGACCAACTCTCTCCCTCTTTTTTTTTTTTTCTTTAAACCAGTATATGGAGGCAGAGACCAAAGGGGAGATTGCTGCCTCTGGAGAAGCTGTGGAAAGAGGTAAATTTGTACATCTGTCCACAAGGAAACATCTTCCTGGTTAGAACAATGCTGTGACACAGATATTGCAGTACCGTGGTGTCACAACAATCAATGGCAACTCTCTCTACCACCTAATTTTATGGAAAGATATTCCCTCTACACTTCCTCCTGCAAGTCAGACCAACACCTGATAAAATAAAGCAAGCCAGAACTTCCAAGTGTGATTGGACTGTTCCTCATCTCTAACTGTGTTAGTTAAGATCAGATCATCACAGGCAGACAGCTTTCACACAAGAAATAAAACACAACTCTATGAAGCAGACGTCACCAAGACCCTAATCTGAATTTCAGGGACCACAATAGTCCTGAAAGAGAGTTTGTCCAACGCTGCCTGAATGTAATTGCTGTTAACATAACCAAAGCGTGGAAGTCACCAAGAATTTAGTTTTCCATATATCTGAGGGCACAGTTATTTCCTCCTGATGACCTAGAAATTCCAGGATTTCTGTGGAAAAGAGAACAACCATATGTATAAGTGGACTACAAAGCTGATGACTGCTTGATAAACAGAGCTAATTTCAACATGGGAGAAGTTGCATGGGAAGTGAAAGGGCAAGACTGACCTTATATTTTAAATATAAACCCACGAAGATGCAACTTTCCTTAGCCTGCTTCCCTAACTTCTGTCTCACTGACCAACCTGTCAGATAAGACAAATCACAAGAAGCTGTCAAGAGCTCAAGCCTGGAGCTGGTCTGACACAGACCTGCCTGAGACTTGAGGTGCAGGAATTGTGTCTCACTACAGACCTGAATCACTGTCATGCTCCAAACAACACAACCTCTGTGTTTAACCACAAGTAAACATTTACTCCAAATCTCTTTCCATCTGTTCTTGCACAGCCTGTTCATAGTGGTAGGGCTGCAAGGCTCTTGACTGGGCACAGACTTGGGTCAGCTCTTGGCTGTACCATCCAGTTAAATAGGGAATTGCAGGAAAGCCTGATGAATGAGCACTCAGCAGTCAGCAGGGCTGCAGCAACATAAACAGCACCCAAATTTAGCTTAATACTGCAAGGAAATTAAAGAGGTCTTTAAAAAAACCCCACCAGTTGTATATTACAAAGAATCTTAAGTCCTAGAGAAGTTGTCATTTGCCCATGCTTAACATAAAATGTGGCTTAAGATACTACAGGTATTTTCTGTTTTAAGTCTAGAGAAGCACTGTCATAGGTGAGAAAAGGACTTTCACCAGCAGTTATTCCTAAGTAAAGGTTAGCTTAGAAAGTCCTTTAAAAAAAGTCGAATACAACTGTTACAGGTAGAAAGCTGCAAGTATTTTAAGTTCTTAAAAATCTTCTGTGACTAAAGTATGTATAGAAATATATTTTCCTGTTTTGTGTAATACACTAGCATGTGAAAAATCAGTAAATTCCCTATTTAATCGGACATGACTGCAGCGACTCCCACAGGGACTCAGGGAGTCAAACAGAACCAGCTCCTGCAACAAGCACTGCTCCTTCCTTCCAGAGGGGAAGTGGAGTGCTGCCACTGGACCCAGTGGAGAAAGGGATGAGACATTTCTTATGGAAGTCAGAGGTGCTGCATGTTAGATCAGGACAATTTTCGGTAGCACACTGTAAAAAATGATCCAAAGGCAAGCACACCCCACCACCAGCCCAGACCTGAATCCATGTACTGGTGTTCCACCCAGAACATTGTGCCAGCTCAGGGAAACTAAGTAGAACGTGCAGGTCTGATCTAACCAGCTACCTTAATTTTAGATCCAGCTCCTGGTCTGGCCATCCCAGAGGGGCTTGGTTAAGAGGCAAGAGCAAATTACAAGTGGCTGTGTGGGCAGCAAAGGAAAGAACGAACTCACAGAGTAGCAAATCTTAAAGAGACAAATACTGTTATAAAACAATAACATTACTGAAAACAATGCAGTTTGTGTACAAGACTGATAAATATTCTGAAGTGTTACAAGAACAGCACAGAGTTGTACAAACAGTAAATACTTGCATTTTCTATACTGCAGTACAGCAATAGAAAATACCAGCTGCTCCAAGCACAGCCTGCCCTGTGCCCAGCCTGCCTGGCAGGTAGGACATGCTGGAAAAGCAGCTTAGGGGACACACAGTCAAATGAAGAGCACCAGGAGGGATATGTTATTGTAGAGATGAGCTATTTCTTAGGTGAGTAATGTTAATGAAGTAGTAACTGTGAGTTTAGCACCTATCAGTTAATAGCTTAACTATTATGTTAAGATACATGTTTCTCTCTTAGAATTGCCATTTCAAAAGAAGTTAGACCTGGACTACCTGTGTTTGAAGGGATCCTTTTAGATCCATCCTTCAGTGCCTCACTTCTTAAAGGAAAGCTGCTGGTTTTTCAAAGGAACATTTTTACCTTGAAGTTTCCATAAGTTAAATATGGGCATTTGTAGGAGAAGATTCAAGTAAAAATGATCCACTTTAATGGTATGAACATTTGAAAAGGTAAAGAGATGGCTCTGTAACTTACTAATTTTGTGTAGAAAATGTGTTTATCACATGGGAGTGCTGCATTACAGCACTAGAGAAACTAAAGCTGTCAGCACTACCAGTGAAACCAATAAACTAAGCTCGTGGTGTGGGCCTACGGCTTTCAGAACAGCTGGGAAGGCACAGTACTGCTCCCTGCACGGACAGCTGCCACTCCTACTGATCTTGGGCTCACCAAACACAGACAAGGGTTACAATGGAAGTCTAAGGCACACAAAATACCGTAATGATTTGATGTATACTGTATGTTACGTAGTCAATAAGCATAAAACTGCTGGTACAAAACGATGGCATAATATTGGTTCTGTTTTATTATTTACAATCCCTTCATATCCTCTATTTGAGCTAATATCAAGCTTTCAACTAAAATTTGCAGCATACCCGGTTTTTACAAATTTTACTTAAAATAGGTAAGAGACAAAGAACGGGTTCAATCCCTCCACCCTCTGCCATCAACAGCTTTGTTAATCTGAACAGAAATGGCAGAATTGAACCCAGGGTCGTTACAGAGTGATTGGTACTTCAGCCCTGGCTCCTGCAGACAGCACCGTGTGCACAGGGTGCAGGAGCGCGGGCTCGTGGCTCTGCAGCCACACCAGAGTTGTAGCACCGAGGTCTTGACTGGCACCAGGTGTTAAAAACACCACTGATGTACTTGTCGTACCAGAACTGTAGAGCGCTGGCACTTGAGCTTCCCCAGGAAAAAGCACCTTGTCTGGGTTTCAATAAAGCAGCTCTAGACAGCTGCTACGCCCCTACACAGCACCACTACAGTGTAATATATCAAGTATATCATCAGTACTTTGCACACTGGAACTCTCTGACCTGGTTCTACCGCCAGGCTGCCCAGGCGGGTGGCCGTGAGGCAGGAGGAAGGTACAGCTCTGTGTGAGGGCCTGACCCTACAGCTCTCCCAGGAGTCCTGGCTCCTGTGGGACAAGGTGCAGGATGAGGTCAGTCCCTAGCTAACGTTTTCATTTGGTAAGTTGTTTAAATAAATAAGTTTAATAAAGAAATACATAGGAGAGGAGAATCAGAAAGAAGAGAGGGATGCTACAGTATTTAAAAGCAATGGAGTGTCTGTTTTTCCTCTGATTTAGCAAATACTCGTTTCGTGATATGTCACTTTTTTAACAGAAATGGAGAACATAAGCTTCATATGTTTGGAAGAAAGGATACAACCCTCTTGAAGAGAAATGTATAAATTGCTTCAAAAATTTACAGAACATTTTTGTAAGAAAACTGAACTCAAAGTTGATGAATATTACAGATAGGTTATTCTTAATGAAAAATTTGCTGTTAAATATTAGAAGTTTAATAATTTTCCAACACTTTCTTTGTATTTTCTCCAAATTAATTTTTTTTCCAGAACAGAATAAGGCAACTCTAAGGGGTATTTTTTTTATCCCAAAACAATCCTACCCCTGAGGCATTAAGAACTTTTGGTTGTCATGTTAACTTAGAATGCTCCAAAGGAATGAGACTTACACACTTATTGCTCAAAGAAACCATAATAAATGCTGCCTTTAAAAAAAGCAAATCATGTTCATATCTCCCAATAGCAACAAATGTACTGACCAGACATCTCCTCGGTTCACGTTTGTACACTCTCTTGAAAGGAATAAAAAGGTTCTGTAATTCGTAACTGTTGTTTATATGCAACATAAAATCTTCATTGAAAAAGGGCAAGTTAAAACCAACCACATATGCTGTGAGCACACATCCTGCAGCTGTAACAACACGGAACTCTACACAGCAAGAATAAAATCACTTCTGTAGAGTATGCACAAACCTTAGACAATATGATCCTTAGACTATACTATTTCAAGTTAATTTTAAAAATAGAAAGTGCTTTTAAAATATATATTTACAGCTTAAAAACAACTTCCAGCCATCCTTACCAATAACTTCATTTTATACATAATGACAAATCTAAAGAACAAAATTCATTGGTTTTCTAAAAGATTTATCTGTAATTTGGACTACATAGCAATGGTTGGAAGTTGTTAAAGCAATGGCACCATGAAGTAATAATTCAGCTTATTTATTTTTAACTGTTTGATGTGGTTAAGCACCAAGAGCTGTGTAGAGCTATAACTGTATAACTTGATTTAACACCATAAAATGTGAACCTGTTAAAATCCCTATAAATGATTTTTGTAGTAAACAGACTTTATTTAAAGCACCAAAATATAAATTCCTAAAGGTAATAAACTGAATGATTCAATCAAGGTTAATAACCTAAACAAAATCTTTTTTAGAATGTATTAAAACTATACAGCTTTTCTTTTTTTTTTTTTTTTGCTTAAAATGTGCTTGAGCACCACCAAATGTTAAAGTCACAGTTTAAGAAGAAATCCCCCCCTTTTTTTTTTCTACCTCAGCCTTAAAATGGTTGAGATGAGCAAATAGTAAACGACAGGAGACTTGTTCTTTAACAGCACCTTAGAGAACCACCGTGTGACCCTGTGCCAGGAGGGGCCCTGCACCTACGCCCAGTGGTTGTAGGGCCCCGCCACGCGCGTCAGGGCGTACGAGGACACCGTGATCACCTTGTCCTTGGTCACTGTCAGCGCTCGGCGGGAGGGAATTTGGTTGAACTCACTGTCTTCATAAAAAAGGTCTCTGTTTTCACTTGGTTGCTTTGCTTTCCTGTTGCTGGAGCTCAGTTCTGAATTCTCCGTTCCCAGTCGTTCCGCTTCTTTTTCCTTCTCTTTCGCCCTCTCGGCCCTCTTTGCTTCCCACATGTCTAAACCGTGTTTTGGCTCATTTAAATTTTTGTGTTGGTAGAAAACTAAAGAAATTCTTGTGGGATGATTCCGGTTGGGTTTTTTGATGGGTGTGGTAGCGTGGAGTTCCCGTCTTGCACATTCAATTAAGATAGAACCGTGAGAAGGTGCCACAGCAACCCCACCAATGTCATCGTCCAAAAAATTGTGCTCGCTGTCTGACCACAATTCCTCAGCCTTTTCTTCAGAATCAGCCGGGTGTCCCAGTGCACTGCTTTGCTTTTCCTCAATACAGTCCGAGTCACACATCTGTCCTCGATGGGAGCTGCCCTTTTCCACCGGGCATCCATGGGAACAGTCGGCTCCATTTCCGACGGCATCCGTGGCCGGAGAGCTTAGCGGTACTGACAAGTCACAAGAGCTGACCATCTGTGAGGAAGAGCTGTCCAGCTGGAGCTGACAGTTCTGTTTGTCAGGCTGATGTTCAAGTATAGTGGGCAGGGGGTCTGTGTGGGCTGGGGGGCCTGGAGCAGTGACCTCGGGAAGCATCGGTGGCACCCCATTCACCTTCTCGTCCAGCAGAATTCCAGTATAATCCTTGACCGACACATCGAAGCTCTTGCAGTTGACGTAAGGTGTCACGTGAGGTTGCTTGGTACTGCACTCAAAATACCCGTAGGGAACTGAAAAATCTTGCTGAATGTTAGTCACTGCTGTTAGGCCAGGCTTATGTGCTAGAGATGGACAAGGATGTAAACTATCCACCTTAAAGGGGGAGGAAGCCGGGCACTGCTTTAGTAAGGAGCAATTTTTAGTAGTGTTTGAAGTATGTTTCATGGTATACAGGTGATTGGAAGTCTCCATTTTTATTCCAGGTTTTAAAGCATCTGTTTTGTTCCCTAGAAGAAATGCACACCAAAGTGTAAGTACTTTTCCTCACTTGATTCATAAAATACACCTCTTAGAATTTCATACTTGTTTTCTAACATGAAAAATATACATGATGACTACAGATTTTTCAAAATGGTTATTTTAAGCTTTTTAGGATCATCTTGATGACCTTAACCATACATATAATAACCTTGTTGAATTAACACCTTAACCTTTTCCAGTCAGGCTGCTGGTATATATAAAAAAAAGGTATTTCTCAAAGGGATGAATAAAATAAACAGAGAAAATGAAATAACCACCGAGTCCTGATCCACACAGCCCAGTCCTACACAAGAGCTTCCCAGCAGTTGACTGCTGGTCTTCAGTTGTTACATCATTGATGAGATTCAGCCTGTCTGAAATTAAGCCTATGAATCAGTCAAAATTCTGGGCTGCCTTGACCCCATATTATGACAGAAGGAAAAAGCTTGTTTATCTTGTCTGTCACAGCCAAAACAGTTACTGAGTTACAACCACTCCTACATTGCAATATCAACTTACAACCTCCTTTAAAAAAAGGAGCTGGCAACATGCTCCAGGTAAATCCATCCCTACAAAGCTGGATCCTGTGATTTGGTGTCTGCCGTCTTCCCATGTAATTGCCTCACAGGAATCACTTCACACCGTTGTGCAGACACTTGTTCAGTCCCTGTCAGCTCTCTAAGCTATTCCTAGCCATGGCAGCCCTGCTGCTGGGCTTGGCTGTGGAACAGCTCCTCAGTGACTGAATCTCATCATGGCTATGTTCCCAGAGACCACTGGATCAATGGGAAAGAATTCCATCATCTTGGATGGGCTTTGCATCATGCCCTGCAGTTGCTTTACCTGTGTTTGGCTGGCAGACTGGCATCCCTCAGAGAGCTCTCAGGTACTGTCTCTGTCAGTATTTCTTCTTTGTTCCATAAATACACAGAAGGGTTAATTGCTTTACCCAATACAGAAGAACTATTCCTTCTTCTACTCTGTCTTCTAATAATTTATAAATAATGATGGATAGAAAGACATTCCTCCAACAGGAATGCAAAAAAGTCAAGGGATAAATTACAGACACAACAGTTAGTATGCAAAAACTGAAGCTGAGTGGGACATAAGGAAGCCACAATGACTCTTTAAGAAAAACTTTTCTATGAAATCAAACATAAAGCATTTAATGTAATTAGAGCAGCTCCCTCCACACCAAGGTCTCTCACCAAGCTGGTGGTCCTCTCCTGTTCTATCCAATATAGGCCAAGAAGAATTGCTGATATTTACGGAGACAGAAATAACTTTTCATCTTTGATGTTTATTTGTCCCGAATAATGTGGTTAAAAGACAGGACTATGCAAGGGAGGAAGTAAGGCCTCTGTCATTAATACACATTTCATACTAATTTAGAATTTCAAAGGCCTTCAGAATTAGAAAGTGTAAAAATTGAGAGTTGTGCTGCTTGCAGTTGGTAAAAGGTGCATGACAAGTGCACTGTTTAATACTTTCCCTGAAGGCCTGGGCCCAGTGGGGACTCAGACCAAGCCCTCACAGCTGTAGGCACTGCCAAGCTGACTCGGGCTCCTCCCCACCATCCTGGCTGCCAGGTGAGGGCAGGAGAGAGGACGAGTCCTCCCTTATTCCTTTCTCATTGCCAGTGCTCCAGATGTGAAGACATGCAGGTTAGAGGGGTCTTTCAAGCTTTCCAGCTGGGCCATACTGCAGTGGCTCTCAAGTGAAGGTCAGGTCTCTTCCAGACAGACAGATTACACCTACACAGTGGGCAGCATGACATAGTCTTGTGACTCCATCATCCTCCGGGCTGCTCCAGAGCCTGACAGCCTCACATGGCTGAGCACGTGGCCAACAGTATCCACCACCCACGGGAATCCCAGCTTACTGCATGTTCTCCACATTCTTTTTCATATTTGCAAAACCAAAGCAATATTCTCAACTCTTGCCCTCCATTAGCAAACCGAGTACTCTACATTACATACCTCAGCTATCCATACCTCCCTCTACAGCTGCACTGTTAAGTATCTTTTCGTTCTTCCATCAGGAGAAAATTTAATAGTAATATCTGATTTGCTTAACAGCCTTGAGCACTGCTGTGTTCACTGCTTACATAAAACTCTAATCAGATTTTTTCCATTCTATTTTCTATTACTATGAAAAGATCCTGATTAATCATTCCTTCTAGTCTACCATCAGGAGTGACTACTGAATAGCCCAGTTTAACTGCTGTCTCCCACACCCTCTGATCCTGTTTTCATACTAAGTCTACCATTCTGAGCTAGACTCCCAAGTTCCCATTCCTGAGGACTAAAATGATACCTGCCCCTGGCAGGAAGGAAAGAAGCAATTGATGACTGATCCCCTGTAACTGCAAGCCCTGCACATACAGCACTGCAGTGCTCCAAATCCAGGGTTTGCAGATCTCTGCACTGTACTGTGGGGCAGGGGCAGGGCAGCAGGGGGGTGCTGGGGTGTGTGCCCAGCCCTCAGCCTGTAGGACTGGAGAGAGCACTGCAGAGAGGTACAGAAACACCTCAGGCTCCTGCCTGGCAGAGCCCAGCACTGCGGTGAGCTGACCTTCCTCTGCCACTGCTGCCTCTGGCAGTGTTCACACAGGCACTCCCAGCACCAGGGGCCATGGGCAGGTGTGGGGCTTACAGTGCTGACATCTGCTTTGGGGAACTCCACTGTCAAAACTTCATGACAAAAGCTGCACTTTTATCATAGAAACTAAATATTCTGTTCACATTCTTATTTTTCCATCCCTGAAAAACTTTCTTGCTCATAAAAGTGTTTCTTCCTCGCTCTGTACCTTACTTTAATCACCAGCCCTTTTAAATTACTTTACAAAAATAGTTCAAGTCCAAACAAATGATCTAAGTTGGCTTGTTTATGCAGTTATTTTATTACTTTTGCATGTTCAAGGAATAAAGTTCTGTGTTCCCAAGGCATATGGGACACCCTGGCTGTTACAGCACTGGTTAAGGCTTCCAGGTGTGGAAGCCATGCCTGCTGCACCTGCAATGTCATGTACAGGTAGGTGGGCCAGAAACCTCTGTCAGTCTTTCAAAACAACACTGCAGTGAGATCAAACAATTTCAGGATTCATTCCCAAAGCAGAGCCCTCTAATGCTTCAAGAATGTCCAGCCCAGCCCTAGCATGGAGTTACTGTGTCCCCAGACATGCATGTGGATGAGCTGAATGTCTCTCTAATATCCTGAGGGTCAGCAATACTGATTTTCTGGTTCATCAGTCACCCTGAGTCCCCTACTGAGACAGAGTGCTCAGTGCCATTACCAAAGTGTGACAAATGCATTTTTGGTTTTTTAAATGTTATTCCCCCCAAATGCAGACATTCTTCTAAATACATTTAACTGTCATTTCTCCCCTTAAATCTACCTGTATCTGGATGGTTCTCATGAAATAAAATTACAGCAGGTTGGCTAATTTTCCTCTCTTCTTCCTAACAGGAAGAAGAGTGCTTTAATTACTTTTATTTATTTATTCCTTTTATTTATTTTCCCCCTGCTAATCAGAGAAGTCAAGTCCATGGCTTCTTCCACCTCTTCCTTCTCTTGTACTTCCCATTACTGCACAGTCCCATACTGTAGTTCCACCCTGGGAAGGACTAGCCCAGAATCCAAGCCCGGGTACCACAGTGTACATCAAAAGCACCTCCACACAGCTCAGCCCAGTAACAGTTCTGATGAAACCGAGTGTTGAGGAGCTTTTCCCTCCCTCAGATGTGCAAGAGGCAACACAGGATCAGAAGAGACTGGCAGGATTTCATAAGCATCACTCACCTAAACAATGCAAAGCGTTGCCCAGATTTTCTGGGGCTTCGGTTTTCAGCTTTACTGGTGTTGAATACTTTTTATCTATTAATGGCTGCTTTTCACTCGGGGCCCTCCTCGTGTCTGGCTTCTTTTTCTTGGTGGCTCTGAGAGGCTCAGCCAACATCCGCACTTCCCTGGGGAATGCTGTGAGCACCTGGATGGCCCCGGCTTTGATCTTGGCTTCCAGGCCCTCTTCGGTGCCGAATTCATCTGTTTGTGAGATCTTGTACAGAGGCAGCACGTGGAGCTGTTCGTCGCTCGGGATCACCCCCACGCTCCGGTTGTCCTCCTTCGTCAAGGTACAGACCTGGCAAGAGCAGGGACAGTGACAGGTGACCCCACAGACCCCGTGCTGGGAATACTGGGGCAGCCACCCCAGGCCTCACTGCCTGCTTGCATTTCACGGCCTCAGGGCTGTGGGGCTTTCAAATGCAAACATCTGACACACATTTTGTTTGATCTGTAATGACACAGAAAAGTTATTGGTACTTTAACAAGATCAAGGCACGTCTTAGACAGGAAAAATGAAACTCTTGTTCAGCTTACACTGCCCACAAATATATGCCAATCTTGGAAAATAATCTCAGCTGTAAATACAGTGTTAAATTCCTAAGCATTCCAATTATTTTTTAAATACATAAATACATCTTTGATGATCAGATTCATTTTTAAGGACTGTAAAATACAAAAAATTATTATTTTTGGACTGAAAAAGAAGTTTCTATGATCTACAATTGGTTTTGGTTTTGGCTGGCAACTGAAAAAACCCACTGCAAACAGTTACTTATACTGCTCTACACTTTTAGCAAATCTCAGCTCTAACTCACTCCCTCTCTCAACACTTCCTTAAATTAACATCCCACTGTAATTAAGCCACAAGACTCAGGAAATATTCTGTTAGGCCACTGCCCTCCTTCCTGTCATTCTGGGTTGTGAGATCCTGGAGCCCAGGACAGTGCTGGTTACATCCAGTTTGATAAGGGCACATGAGAAATGGGTATAAATATTCCAACTTATTGCAACAGTTTCCTTATCACAGTTGTAAGCTGAACACTTCCAGCAGTGCTGGAGTTCCAGCTGTGACTAACACTAACCCTTCCCCTTGAAAGCAGCACTCAAACCAGCAGGATTCCTGGTGTCACTCCCAAGGGATGGTGACAGCTCTGTGTGCCTTAGCACACGTACAAATAGTCACCCTTTCCTGGGTTTACCAGTGGCACTCCTGAGGGACCACTACATCATCTCACACTTCAGGTGAGCTGCTGCTTCACAGGAGTTACTAACTACACACACAAAGGAATAGGAGCACCATCCATCCAAGGATGGGATGATACTCCCTAAGTGGAAACATATCATTCCATCACTGTGTTGGCTGAATGCCATGCCTATCCTGAACAGTCAGTCCAATTTCCCAGGATCTTGTCACCATGCCTAACATTCCAGGGGAGGAGAATTATATTGTTATTATTTAGGAGGGGAAAAAACAAAACATTTTTAATTTTACAGCACAGCTTTTGCATAAAGGCATCACACAGTTATTTCTAGAACACTGAAGTTGCAGAATCCCAAACTAAAAACCCTGGATCAATAAGGGGGTGGCTGGGGCTGCATCAATGGCTCTATGCAAAGCTTGGCAGTGGCAGAGCAGCAGCAGGAGGGGCTCTGAGGGGCAGACAAGGGGGAAGAGCTTTTGGGAGGCAGCTGGCAGGGTGAGGGAGGGCTCTGGGGGCAGCTGTAGCATGGCTGAGGTGCTGCTCCATGCGTACTCACCTCCGGGGCAGCCTCTGCACTACGGGAGAGTCAGAGAAAACAACCATTGTTCCATGAGCAGTGAACGGAGCTGCACCTCCAGACTCCCCCACACCCCAGCCCAGCACCTCATCCCTGCTCCCACCTCGGCTGGGCACGGCAGGAACAGGATGCCTGCAGCTCCTCTGGGGGGAGCTGACCTGGATCCAAACCTGAGCACTCAGCAGGGAAATTTTACAACTTGGAACAAGAGGGAAAATCTCCAGAGACAATTCGGTTTCTGCAAAGTTCAGTGAAATCTGGCTGAAATTTGCCAGCAGATTCCAAGTTACTTGGGAAAGGTGAGGGAAGGTCAGACATACAGAGAGCACAATTCCATATGACTGGTGTTTCAGAAAGCCCAGCACAGCCTCCCCCTCTAAATTGCAATCAAAAGAAGTGATGAAATGAGCACTGAGGGGCCTGGGTCCCACTTGTTCTCATCAGGAACTGGGCAATTCCCACTTGTTTTTTAGAATACCATGTCCAGCCCGTGCCTAGCCCATGCACAAGTCCTGAAGATTCAATCTGGTCTCAATTATTTTGAAAACTGAGACCCTCATCCAGTTTGCTGTTCTAAATTTCCATGCAAAAGCCAACACCTTCCTTGGAACAGGAAAGCTGGAGAACTGTTTTGAGGAACTAAACAAGATGAGGGCTGTAATATATTGACAGAACTATGGTGAAAGTATAGTCAACTCCAACACACCCTATATTAAATACCGAGTTAGAACACATCAAGAAATTAATGTATATCCAAAACTGTTAAAACCCTGAAGACCAGTACACCTACAACCTAAATACCAAAAGAGCTATTTTATTATTTTATTATATGTAGAATTTCAAGGTGCCCTCGTAATACATTTTAACATAAAAGTGAGGACAAAATGGCAAATGGGTAATTGAAAAATTAATGTTATGGGGAAACCAGCTACAAATGAAGGCTGTACATATAAGCCAGCATCTTACAGCTGAAGGTGGTAAACCACTGAATGAGAAATACTTGCTTAGAAAAAACATTCCAGAATTCAAATCTGTGCAAAATATTCCATTAAGAAACTTAGAGAGAAGCTTTTTTGCTGAGAAGTCAAAAGCAACACTTTCCATTGGTACTGAAACTGTGCTGCAAACTGCCCAAAATTAAACCCGAACATGAGAAAACCATCAGCTCTGTTAAAGGCCATTTACAGGGTGAAGCTGCATATCCTGCTACTCTGCTTTTTCCAGAACACGCAGCTAAATCATCCAGGATGCTCAAAGGCCACAGAAAATGCTGGCCAAGTGGTTTATTTAGGTTTCCAGTTTCCAGTGTGTGTGGCGATCAAACCCATTACCTGTTTTGGGTTTAGTGATGTCATGGTGAAACTTGCGTATTTGTAAGACTTTATTATTAATTTCTTTTAAACTTGAAATGCATGAGGAACTCAATGCAATTCCCTCCAGAGATCTCCAGAGAAACATCTGTAGCCACACAGCTCCCAGTGCATTATTGTGGGACTCTTTGATCTGCCTTTGTCCTCCTGAACCTCGCATGTAGAAATGATGGAGCCTTTTCCACTGTGTTGTAAGAACAGATGTTTTAAATTCAGGTTTCAGCAGAGCAGTCAAACAGCCTTTCTAAACCTTAAAGATGGAACCAAGTTTCCTACCCACACCTCCCCTGTGCAGCTGGAGAGCAGAGTGGGTGTCCCTGGGCCCAGGTGCTGCTCCATCCTTGCCTGCCAGGACACACACAGACCTCTGGGCTTTCTCTGCAGCCGAGACAAACCGTGGGGTTCTGCTGGCCTGATCCACCCTGGACAGGTGTGTGCAGGCCAGGATTGGAGGTGGGATCCCCAGCTGTTTTCCTTTGAGCACTCCCTGCCTCCCAGGTGGTGGCACAGGTACAGCACACGAGCCGCTCTCCGGGCACTCACAGGTTACCAACGTGAACGTGAAATGTTTCTCCATTTTCACAATAACAAAACTAGAAAACCCTTTACAGCCCAGAGGGTTTATCTTCTCTCCTCTTTGTTATAACCTGAAGCCCCAGCCTAAGCCTCTGGTTCTCCTGCAGCTCCCGAGGCAATGGCAATGTGGTGTAACCATGCAGACATCCTGTCAGCTCCTGCAAAGGCCTGGAGCCACGTGCTGTGACACAGCAGGCTGTCCTACACAAGTACAAGAAGGGATGGGAACAGCAGAGGCTTTGAGATTTTATCCAAACTGGGAGCACTTAGTGGATGGATTGCTGATTGACACTACATATAAACTACATATTGTAGCTGCCCTTGAAGCATAGATTTACCTTCCTGCCCTTCTTCCTAATGCCTCTGCAGTCTGTGTGGCTCCAGGGATTCCACACAACTGCACTGGTCTCCCATTGCTCAGCCCCAGCCCACATCCCTGTCGGGTGAGAACAGTCCCAGCCAGGGCCTGCACAGCCTTTGTGCCACAGCAGTGACTGAGGGGCATGAGGAGTGTGATCCTTCCCAGCTAATCCAGTAAAGACACAGCAGAACTTCCATTTCACAGACTCCATTAATAACTGTAAAGCTTCTCTCTGTGTTGCTCCTTTAGCTTCTATCCCCCAAGGAACACTGCCCCTGACACTGCAGCTGTCACATACAGCTGGGCCCTTAGAGAACACAGAGATGACACAAGTGTCTGAGTAAAAATGAATGGTGTATTTATTGCCTTAAAGTTCTTAATAACAATTCATTGGCAAAAATTACTTTGACCTCTCTCAGCACATTAGTTTACATTTCTATAGAAATGTCAGGTGTATTCTTTCTACTACAGAGCAAGCAGGGAACAGCAGTTTGTATTTTCAGCTTTCTACCAAAAGCAGCTCTGCTAAATTCAGGGCAAGACTCTGCTGGCCAGGGACAAAGTTCCGTCTCTCAGATCTCCAGTGATAATTACCAGTTAACAGTAATCCTCAATCTGGGTAAGTTAAGATGCACTGTTTTCTCTTGTTTTACAGAAGGCATTTCCAAAACTCTCCCACTGCTAAATGACAGCCTGATTTATTTTCAGAGTCACATACAAAAAATGCAGCTGATCAAATACATACCTAGAAAAATCCAAGAATGCTTTTCTGAAGTTCTGGCAGAGGCAGTGGTGAGAAGTTATTACTGACAGCTCATTAGATAATATATTCTTCTAAGTGTAAACTCATTCGTTATCATTAACCTCACCCAAGTGTTTTGCTGTCTCTGGTTTAAGTAATCTGAATAGATTGTGGTTTTCCTTTACTTTGGGTGCCCTGCACAGCATTCCTTCCATACCTGTGGGCACCAATGACAAGGGGAGAACACAAAAAGGTGTCACTTCCACCAGCAGAACCAGCAGCATTCACCCATTTCACAAGGTATTTACTTGAACCTTTTTAGCCCAGAGGAGCTTTAGATTTTATAAATTAACCATTTTGTGTTGGAGTAAGGAGGAAGGGAAGAAATCTTACCAAGTTGACAAGTGCACTTGTGTAGAGATTTTAAAATGTAAGGTGTGATGAGCAGTGAAAAAAAATCAATCAAATTACAAGACAAAACCAGTAAAGCCATGGATGCTTGAGGTTTTTAAGGTAGTGCAAATCATTCTCCTTCTGTCCATTGCCAGATTATCAGAGCAGTCTGTGTGAGAGCTGTCACCTCAGGTGTTGTACTTGCACACACTGCATTTTACAGACAAAATATGTCACAGTTATGTAAGTGACCCCTCCATCATTATGGCCAGTGATTTATAAGAAATCATCACATATTTTAAACTGACTCAGCAGCCCCAGAGCAGCTTCTGAACTAGACAGGACTGCAGGAGGTGACCAGACAGGTGCTGGGATCACACATACTAATTTCTTTTTGTGTTCTTACCACTACATTTCCTATGGCATTACCAGATTTGGTTATAAGCCAAAATTAGCAACCCTAATTTTGATTATCATCACAACAATCTAGACTGAAGCAAGCCCAGTGTTTTCTGCCACCCTGTCTGCAAAAAAAATCAACATTTTTTGCTTTAGGCTCCCAGTCCATGTGACTGTAACTGTGACCCAGACAGAGAACAGATGCTGTGTCTTGTCCCCACAGCCCCAGCTCCCACAGATCACAGGGGATCTCCAGCTCTGATTCACCTTCAGTGTCCCAGTTCAAGCAGGTAAATTGGGTGTTAATACTTACAGCTTTTTCCTATTTACAAATAGCCCCTTGCTGCAAGTACATTGAAATAAAGAGCAATCACACCTAAATAAAGAGAACACAGGGATGCAGCAGTTATTTGTGAGTGAGCTACCCAATGAAAACCAGATTGCAAGGCATAGTTTTCAGCAGTTAAAATGATGTAGTAATGTTCTGCTAGACTGACAAAATTTGGCAGAACTTGATAGTAAGACAGTGGTAAGTTCTGGCCCATACAAAGACCTTACACAGTTGTAATGTTCCCTGATTCTGAGACAGAATTACTTGCAAACACACCCTGTACAATCCATAAAGTATCAACACCAAGGATAATCTGAAGCTGCAGTGACATCAAGTGATTACAGATAAATGTATTTGTTCCCCAATACAAAAGGTTTAATTGTTCCTCCAGCTGCTTCTGGCCATAACTTACGACTTCTCTGGGATCCGGTATGGCAGAATGAGTAGAAGACTTGGTTTCCATTTCATTTTGTCTTTTAATTTAATGGGCAATGAATGGAGCCCTTAAACTATTATTTTCAGAGCACCTGAGCTAAATTTCATCAAAGAGTATACCATGCAGTTTGTCTGACAAGGAGGCCTCATTTTCAAGTTTAGGATCTTCAAGGGCATTCAATTCCTACACTCCGGAAACAATTTTGCAATGTGTACTTCAACATTCTTATATAGAGTATCCACACAGAAGAATGCTGGCAAAAATAATAGTCTCTTGAGGACTGACATTCCTGGTGAATTCCCAGACCTGCTTCCATACTTTAAAGGAACAGCCATTTGCTCACCTTACAAGCACACAATTAACATTAAACAACTGGCCAGTCATTTCACTGCTCTTACATTCAAAAGCTGAATGTTAACTATAGGTGTAAATGCAACATTTTATTGCATCACAGCAACACTAAGTCAAATTGTATTTCCAAATTTTAAAAAAGACTGTTTCTAAAGTAGGCAGAGATTTTAGATAGATTTTTTTCTAGATATCCATCCTTTGATAGAGAAGTTACTTGAGTATTACCTGCACTGCTGTACAAGAAGTCACCCTCACTTTTAGAGCCCTGCAATGCTCCAGCTGCTCAGAGAACACTGCCAGTTTTATCTTTGCTGCTTTGAGCTTGGCTTTCTGTATTTCTAAATGATCACTGATTTGAGTAATTCCCAACCCACTTTCTCACTGGCAGTCCAGCGAGGTGTTTGTACAACAGCCACACCCATCTGTGGGTTTCCCTTCCGTGCTCAGATTCAGTGATCACAGTGATCCCTGGCTCTGTGGGACAGTCCCTGAGCCAACCCCAGTCCGTACAGTGATCCCTGAGCCAACCCCTGTCCGTACAGTGACCCCTGAGCCAGCCCATCCATACAGTGACCCCTGAGCCAGCCCCAGTCCATACAGTGACCCCTGAGCCAGCCCATCCATACAGTGACCCCTGAGCCAACCCCATCCATACAGTGATCCCTGAGCCAACCCCATCCATACAGTGATCCCTGAGTCAACCCCAGTCTGTAAAGTGACCCCTGAGCCAACCCCATCCATACAGTGATCCCTGAGCCAACCCCAGTCTGTACAGTGACCCCTGAGCCAACCCATCCATACAATGATCCCTAAACCAACCCCAGTCTGTACAGTGACCCCTGAGCCAACCCATCCATACAGTGATCCCTAAACCAACCCCAGTCTGTACAGTGATCCCTGAGCCAACCCATCCATACAGTGACCCCTGAGCCAGCCCATCCATACAGTGATCCCTGAGCCAGCCCCAGTCTGTACAGTGACCCCTGAGCCCGCTCCATCCCTACAGCGGTGCCAGGCTCGGTGCCCAGCCCTGCCCATCCATACAGTGACCCCTGAGCCCACCCTGTCTGTACAGTGACCCCTGAGCCCCCCCAGTCTGTACAGTGACCCCTGAGCCCTCCCAGTCTGTACAGTGACCCCTGAGCCCTCCCAGTCTGTACAGTGACCCCTGAGCCCTCCCTGTCTGTACAGTGACCCCTGAGACAACCCCAGTCTGTACAGTGACCCCTGAGCCCGCCCATCCCTACAGCAGTGCCAGGCTCGGTGCCCAGCCCTGCCCATCCCTACAGTGACCCCTGAGCCCACCCTGTCTGTACAGTGACCCCTGAGCCAGCCCCATCCCTACAGTGACCCCTGAGCCCGCCCCTACAGCGGTGCCCGGCCCTGCCCAGCCCTACGTACCACGGTGCTGCCGTTGTGCATGTTGTGGGTGTCCTTGTGTGCGTGGGCACAGAAGTCGATGCAGGCCGTGACCCCGGAGAAGGGCCGGCCCGCCTGGCAGCCCAGCCGGCAGTCGGGGCCCATGTGCTCGTTCTCCACCTGCAAGGACAGTGCACTACAGCTACTTGGGACTCAAAGGGAGGGAATGGGAGCCCCAGGGCCACCACCCCCCTTGTGACAGAGTGAAGGCAGCCAAGAAGCCACAGTGATCAAAAAGCACGTATTTCCCTATCAAACATGGAACACTTCTGGCTGGATGTCAGCGAGATAATCAGGTCAGCCAGACTCTAAGTGTCTTGAAACAGTGAAACCAATTTATTTACAGTATTATCTCTGAGCCTTTGTCACCTGTGCCCAGCTCAGGCCACAACTGAACTCCCAGTTCAAATCTGGAGGTGCAGTACATTAAAACCTGCCAAATGCCCCTGGAAGCAGCAGCTCCACAGCACCGCAAGGCCTGGGGCTGCTCCTTGGTTTGGGACCAAGCTGCTGCTCAGAGCTGAGTGTCACACACCTACCTGGTTCTGGAAAGCTTCCGGAGCAAGCTTCTTATACACTGGAGCCACATCAGTAGCCAACGTTTGCAAATTATTTTCCAGAAGTTCCTCCTGCAGAGAAAGGCAACATTCAGTGCTGGAGGTGGCTTTGAAAGCATCTCAGCCAGCTGAGAGATGCCTGACAGCTCAGCCTCTGCCTCCTGTTTTATTAATCTGACTTTTGTCCTGCTGCCCTTTGTCACTAGCCATAAATGTCTACTTTTGCATGACCAAAACACCAAAATAGTTAGATATAAATCAACCAAATAACAGTGGAGGGTATCTGCTGGGGCAAAGAAACCCAAGACAGGGGAACTCATTTCTGCATCAGTTCTGATACGTGTCAAGGAGGGAGGTATGTTCTACACAAAACTCATACCCCATTGTGAGCGGGGATGGAGCCTCAGGTCTTCTTTTAGTGTTTTGTTTATGGGCCTTAATCCACATTGACACAGCTCTGCTAAAAGAAGCCCAGGTTTCCAATACATTTCCTTTAACTGTAGGAGAAACTGCCAGTTGCATTTAACACTCATTTCAGCTCTTAGGTCTTTTCTCAGAGGTACATTTCTCATACTGCAACAGAACTTTCACCAGGAACAGTTGTTAACTCTTTTGTTCTTTGGAGGTGCAAAACTTATGGAAATAACTACAAGATTTGGAAATAATATTCCTTTCCTTAGGCAAAGCCATATAAACTCAGAATTAGCTAGGTGGGCTTGTATGGCAGCATCACATTTAAATTCTTATTTATAGACACAATCTCCACATTCTTATCCTAAGTTTTTGCTTTTCCAGAAAAATCACCAACCAACTGGTGACAGACACACTTTGTTTTCCTCCAAGGACCAGGCTCTGAGACACAACCACCTGTGTCTTCAGTTTTGCATTGTGTGGAAATGCAAAAACCAACAGCTGATTTTGTTCAAAAAAACCCAAACCCACTTGACCCCATACCCTGTAAACAACAGTGTACAGAAGACTCACTTTTTTCCATGCAGTGTTCCCTTACAAGACAATACTGTATTTTTAACTCACACCACAGCCAGTTCATCAGCTGGAAACGCTGCCACGAGGGTTTCTGAACTGCACTGAAGGTAACATATCCTTCATTATCTATCCTAAGTACCATTCTTACCTAAGGATATTATACCCTTAACTCATCTCACTCCATACAGTGCTTCAAATGATCCAAGTCTTTCTGACTTTCAACTATCTTTTTCTCGATTTGCTTTCTTAATTGAAAATTTAATTTTATTAATACTTCCTAGCTTTATGTCATCTGCAAAATCATCAATAGCCAGTATTTAGCCAAAAGAAGTACCTGCTAGAAAAAATAATGCCAAAAACAAGTGTGCCACTGAGCCTGCTCTGACCACAGACCTCCTGGAGCTGCCTCAGCTCTGTGTTTCTTTAGACACACAGAGAAGTTCTGCCTTGGGGGGTTCCCCAGCTAATTCAAAGCATCCCAAACCTACAGAGGACATGCCTGCACAGAATGCTCCATGCCCAGCATTAGACAGAGGGAGAACCTGAACACACAGGGAATGGCAAAGGACAGAGAAGGAACAGGATTCCTAAAATAAAAGAAGCCAAATAAACACATTTTTCTATAAACAAAGTTTATAAAACAATTTCCTCTTGAGACAAGCAAGGCTGGGTTTGGCCTCTTCTGCCTTCAGCTCACAACACCTTTATTCCCTCTCCATGAAAATATTTTCAGAGTAAAACACTAATGGGGTTGGGTTTTTTAGATGTTCGTTACTTCCCATAATCCATCATTAATTTCCTTAATAACCTTTGTGACATCACCGACACTCCTAACCAGCAATTAGCAGAATCACTTCACTGCATAGTGTTTCAGTGTATCCATTCCTTCAAAACCATTTAAAAAACATGCTGGCCACAGAAAAAAAATAGTTTATTCTTGGTGACAGAGGAAGCCCAGGCTGTCAGCTGGTCCTACAAAAGTGGGAAAGCAGTTGTACCTTGGGGTTGCACATTTTCTGTGCCAAGGCAGAAGCCCTGAAGGTCTGAGCTACAGGCTTGGTCCTTAGGGAAACCCTCGAGCTGTGTTTTACACTTCCAAGAGTGAACATTTCACACAGGTTACACAGGGAGCTAAACATGCAGAAAAGCATTTAAGGATAATTTTAGGGTATTTAAATACATAAGTGACACTGAGTTTTCACCCAGTGGAATAACGATTCTAAATACTACAGTTAAAAAAACTGCACTGGCTGTGTGTCTGTGATAAGCTCTGCACACGTGTATGAGAGAAAAGGGGGTGAAAATCCAGAGATTTCACTCCCAGTTCTGAAAATCACCAGAAGATGTGTTTGGAGGGGGAAAAAAAAAAAAGAAATCTTACTTGCTTAGGGTCATCAGTGAGAAGCCTAAACTTCCTGGGGTTTTTGCTCCTGGCAAACTTACAGCCATTGAAATACATACTCCATGAACAGCCAAATGAGAACGATGCTCCACAAGTTTCTGGGTCAAGTCCTTGACATGCACAAGTACGACTAGGAAAGGAAATAAAGACAGTCAGGTCAGCTGGCAACACAGCTCTTGGGTCTGGGGATTTTTAGGTCAATGCTATTTGCTGTTTCTTTTATAATACAGAGCATAAAACAAAGGAATTTATAAAATACATGGCTTAACCAGATATTTTCTGTTAAGGAAGTATTCATGTGTAGAGGGCTGACTTTTCTCCCCAGGAAGACAGACTCAGCGCCCCCAAGACCTAATTCTGGGAAATAAATACTCAGTCACAGCTCTATAAATACACCCGTGCTACTTTCATTTTGAATTCTCCAGTTGGATAACCCTTTTATCCAGGAAAGTAGCCCTGCAACTAAAGGTTACCCTTAAATCCAATAGTTATTGTGTTATGTGCAGCAATACCATTAACTCCAAATTGATCTGACTTTCAAAGTGAACTCTAAGAACACGAGCATTAGATTCAGGTCCCTGTACAGCTATGAGTCTGTGAAATGTGAGCTCCACAGAGATCAGCACAAAGGCAGCACTGCACTTACAATATATTCTTATTAAACAAACTCAATTCCTCTCAGGCACAGAGAGGGAGATCCTGGGTTCAGGATCCCGTCTGTTTTAACGAGTGCAATCCCACGTTGGTGGCAGCTCTTTGAGCCTGGTGGGTGTGCAGAGGGCAGCCGGGGCAGCGTGCACAGAGCCAGGAGAGGAGCTCACGGCCACCCCCTCCCTGGGCACGGCCCGTACAGCTCCCACAGAGCAGGAACGAGGCGTGACACAAGTGCCAGCCGGTGGCTGGGCTGTGTGCATCCTGTCCAGCTGAAGTGCTGCGTTGGCAGGCTGTCCCCGCAGAGCCCAGGCAGCCCCGAAGGAAGAAGGGACTCACTCCTCGTTGAGCGCGCACCGGCGGCTCGTGGGGCAGCCGTACTTGCGCAGGCTCTGCGTCAGCTCCTTGTACAGGGTGTCTGCCAGCAGGTGGGGGATCCCCTCCCAGGCCAGGATCAGGATCACGATCACGGCCGTCTGGCAGTGGTGGCCCGCCCGCTGCCGCACCAGGCACAGCAGCTTCTCCTCGTCGCTGCTCCTGCGGATCACCTGCAACAACCACGGGGTTACTCTGGGAACAGACACCTCCTCAGCTGCTCCTCTCGGGGATGGGTGAGGCCCCAAAAGCAAGGGATACTGCTGCCCAAAGAGTGCCCATCGCAGGCGGGACCAGGACTGCATCACACTCAGCCCGGGGCAGAACAGGGTTTTGTGCTGCTTTCTTACCTGCAGGAGAGACAGCAGCGTATTTGACAGGGGGAGGAGTGTTTTAGATCTTGTACACATGCAATAAAGGAGATGCATTAAAGGGCAAATAACCTCTGGAAGGAAACAATCCTGAGACAAGAGATCCACTAAGAACCCAACAGTTACCCTGAAAATAAGGCAGAAAGTACAGTGCCCAACCCCAGAAGGCAGGTGTGTGAAAGCACACCAGTAGGGCACACGTGTTAGGACAGCTACCAGTGTTAAGAGATCAGTACCCAAGATGGTCCTCACCTTGCAAATATAAGAAAGCAATGAAAACAGTTTGTGTTCTTAGTGAAGGAAACAATGGGATTTTTCACAACATATCCCTAGACTACCTCCATTAAAGCTCTCAGAGTGGTGAAGCTGTTACTGACCTGCATGATGTACAAAGCCATCTCTGGCAACCTTCAAACACAGAGACTAACCAGTGTGGAACAGTACAATGCACCACTGGATAAAAAGGGGGAAATTATCAAAGAACTAGACAATCCTACTCCCACATATTTAGGGCTTTGCCATAAACTGGAAGTCACATTTAAGACCGCCAAAAAAAGCAGTAAGGCTAGGTATTATGGAACACGGTCTCTGAAAATACATTTATTTATTCTTCCCACACGTTTTAGCCAGCATGGCCTGTTCAAGGCCTCCAGCAAAGGTGTCAGTGCTCCAGTGTGAAGCTCCAACCCCCTCAGGCAGTAGAGGCTCCATCCTCCTCCTCAGCTGGGCACCTGCAGGGTTCTTGCTGTGTGAGCACCAGCCCCTGCACTGCAGAGGCCTCTGCCAGCTCCATCTCCACCCACAGAGCTCCCACACAGAACAGCCCCAGTCATGGACGAGAAAAGCAGGAAGGCAGTGGTTCCCTTTCTCTTGGAATACCTCCAGATATCCGAGTGTTCAGGTAGATTCCCCTTTGGACTGATGTCAAAGCTGCTGTGCTGCCAGATGTGCAGCTGTCACTCATGTGTGACCCCTGCCCTGATCACCTCTGAATATCTACATCATCTGAACTCCTGGAAAGCAGGGACCAAAGCACACCTGCAGTTCATTTGCCAGTGAAAAGGGCTGCAGCAGATGAACAGCTGAAGAGGGCACCTGTGCAGGGTGAGCAGGGAGAGCAAGCTTAGAGTTGATTTGTGTCAAGAGAAAGTATCACCCTTCTAAAGCTGATCATGCACTCTTACAATCAGCCTTGGGCTTCATGAGAAAATGAGTGGCTCTGATACACCATTCCTGACAAGGAGTCTTGGTTCTGACCAACCTACTGACTGACAGGTCAGTATGTCTTATAAGGAAAGAAAAATAATCCAGCTCATTTACATTTAAGTGAAGTTGGCAGCAAGTCTGTTAAGGCTGATCCACAATACAGGTTATTCATGTAAAAGGTTTACATTCCTGAGGCAGCAGTTCCTTCTAGCCAGAAGGACAATTTAATTTTGTTACTCAGTGTGAAGTGATGCTTTTACTCTTTTTTTTCTCTTATTTTTAGACCAACCCAAATAACACAGTCTGGTACTGTACAATGTCAGGTGCCTTTTTTAAGTTCTCATGTAGCTCTAAACTGGAAAAACACAGTCCAGGAAAAGTGACAAACGAACACAAAGGAAATTTATAGTTTCCTTAAAACTAAGACCACACTTTCCTGCAGTTAAATGTAGCTGGAATTGGCTTCATTGTGCATATTGTAGAGAATGCAATACTCTTATTGCACCCAAAACCATTTTACAATCCACCACATTCTGGGCCACAAAGGCAGGTTCATGTATTTGAATTTTACGTCTCTGGGTCAGTTACATCATCCACTCATTGGATCCTTTTGTTCCCAGAGATCAGCCCTTCTCTCACCTGTCACTGAGCTGGGGTGGTTCCTGAGGTGGAGCTGGAGCCACTCTGCTTCCCCAGAGGAACTGAGGATTCCCTCCCAGGGCAGTAAATGAACTGAGCCCCTCCTGTGCAATAACTAAACCCACAGCAGTGCCACACTCGGGGGACAGAAAAAGCACTTTTGAGCAGGACAGCTGAACTCCAGACTGGGGACAGTGCACAAACCAGCTGGCAAACCTCGAGTCCAAAGGTTTTGGGTATTACTCATGATTTCTGTGATGTAGTTAACAACAGTGATAAAGTAAATCATTTAATACTTCAGTTTGTTTAATTTTGGTCCCTAATGCATTTACAAGGAATGAGAAAGTAAGCATTTGTTAAGCAGAAGAACTTAAAAGCTACATTTTTAGAATGGGAAAATAAAACTTTTCCTCTGCAATTACTTTTCCACACAAGCTAACCATGACTTCTGAGTGACTCACACAGAAAAATAACATGATCAACAAAACAGACTTGAACAAGTCTGTGCAGCATTATGTAACACTTACATGCAGCAAGCAAGAGGACAAGAGGAAACGGCCTCAAGTTGCCCCAAGGAAGGTTTAGGCTGGATCTTAGGAAAAATTTCTTCCCAGAAAGGACTGTCCAGCCCCAGCACAGGCTGCCCAGGGCAGTGGTGGAGTGCCCATCCCTGCAGGGATTTAAAAGACTGTAGGTGTGCTGTTCAGGGCTGTGGTTTAGTGGTGGCCTTGGCAGCGACAGGTTAATGGCAGAACTCAGTCTTAGAGGTTGTGTCCAGCCTAAATGATTCTGTAGTGTCATGGTCAGGTTTTTGCAGGTATGTAGGGCCACATTCCCCCTGAACTCATTTCAGCAACCACCCGATGTCATCAGTACTAAGTATCCATCAAGACCCCCACATTAACAATGAATACTGTTTCAGCTGCACTTCAGGAAAGGAACAGGACCTACCAAACTCCTCCACATGCTCCATCAGTACCCACCAGCCCTGCTCTGCACTCACACTAACTGGCATGAAGTTCCCTGCTGCCACTCCCTCCCCTGTGTGCCAACACAGCCATGTCTAAGGCAAAAGGGAACACCAAAACAGGACTCAGCTCCTTCCAAAGAGCCTCCTTACACACACATACTGGACACACAGCACCACCAGGACCATCCTTGCAGGTGCCGATTTGGGCAGGACACTCAGTTGTTTTGGTCACTCTCAAACCCCTGTTTTGCCCATCCCTATGGTGCTGGAGTTGTGCCCCCACCAGTACCACATCCTGCATTCCCATGGCTGTCCAGGTGTCCTTGTTGATGTGCACACCCAAGGGAAGGCAGCAACTCAAGTGATTCATTTTCTCAGCTAGCCCAGGTATTCCCAGAAGGGCAGGAGCTGAGAACATGAGCAAGCCTTCGAGGTGTCCCACAGCCAGGTGGGACACAATCAGCAGCTATTCTGGCAACATAGCACAGCTAAACCTCTGCACTACAAGCCACAAAGGCCTAAGCTTCCCAAAATTTCTTACCAGAAAGCACGAGCCAAATGCTATGGCAGGTTTATTGAAGAGGTGCCCTACGCAGTAGAATTTCCTCCAGCACTTTAGCTGTGGGATACCCATGAGGAAAAGTTAGATTTTTCACACCTTGCATACAAGGAGAATGAAAAGGATGCTAAAAATTCAAGAATACAGTAACAGGATGAGGTCAGAAGAGCACAGTTCAGCTTTATCATGATCCTGAGAGTGACAAACAGCAGTTGCCTCTGATGTGCAGCAAGAGAGGCACTGGGATGCAGAGATGCTTCCCAGCAAAGCCAGGCCTTCCAGCCACCTGCCAGCAGCTCAGGGGACAGCTCTCCCCCTGCTTTCCAAGCACTTGCCTTTTGTGCATTTCTCCACTCACTTCTAAATCCATGCAGCATTTTAACCACCCACTATGTTCCCAGGAAAGCTTAATTACAGACCATGTGACAGAAAAAACATGACCCTTCCTTGGTGCTGAGCTCACCCCCTGCCAGCACCCTCTAGTTTAGCTCCAGGATGAGACTGGAGAACACAGCTCCATGCCACTGGACACTTCAGCAGCTGCCTTCTCCCTTCCCTCTCTGCCAGCCTGACCAGTCTGCACCTCCATCTGTCCTTCCCAGTCCTGCTGTGCTTTCCTGGGGGATCAGACTGACAGGATCCCAACGGGGGGGCAGCACCTCTCACAGAGGCACAGCTATGTTCCAGGTTTTCTCTGTTCCTCCCCAGTAGTTCTCACCAGTTTCTTCTGCAGTTTCCATCACAGCTGGACACTGAAGCTTTGTCTAACAAACCATCATCTCAAGCAGTAACAACCCAGTGTCCACCACTGAGTACAGGGAACTAGAACACTGCTTTTTGTGGGACTTTACCGAGTGATTTTTATCTTTTATTTTCAGTGGTCATTCAGTCAGGATCAGAATTCCTGATGTCTGTCCTTGCTCTTTGTTATCCTGTATCAGCAGCACTTTGGCACTGCAGCATCTCCTGCTTTTTCAAACCATTTCTGGATGGATTGCAATGAACAATCAGTAAAGGCACACTGTCAATAAAAGCTCCTCCAGCTGTCCAGCTCCTTAGCAGGAGCTCTAGAACAAGGGATAAGTCCACAGTGAGTAAGAATGCCCCCAGCCATGAGCCAGCCTGTCCACATGAGCATGGACACGCCTTGGGAAGTAGCTCAGTCCAACTGCAGAAGCTCCATGTACCAGATGCTGAATTCCCCCAGGGATGAGAAAATAACTTTCCAATTACAATCATCAGAAAGAGTTGTGTTGACTTCAACATGATTTAATCCAGACACCACTAGCAAAGAGCACTAAATTTTAATTGTGAGTTAAAAACACTGCTATAAATTACTGGATAACCCCCCCAAATAACAGAACCAACAAAAAGGTACTTTTAGTTTTTTTTCCACCTCCATGTGGTTCCACTGCAGTATTTCCTCCA